AAAAACAGCAAATAGCAGTATTTCCCTCCAGAGGTGACCATGTGGGATGTAATGCCTTTAGTAATTGGTACTTTAGTGACTTTAAGCCTGTCAGTAGTGCATCCATTATCACCTGGTGTATGTGTTGTTGTGTGTATGCCAAAAGGATGTGGTCATTTCAGAAAGTGGCTGCTAATCATAAATCCATTCCCCCAGTAGACTGTAAATCACTGGCTGGCCATTTTCTCTCTGGGACTGAATGTTCCTGGACAAAGATGCTGCCTTTTGTAATTACAGTTTTTAGTGTTTTAGAGGTAAGCTTCTTAGCTTTGGAGTATTCCTTGAAAGTCTTTGTTTCTCCTGTCTGACAGTGCATCAAAGTGTTAAACAAACTAGTGATGTAATGCCAAGCGCGATCGACCCCGCTTATCGCCGCACCCTTTGCGAGACAAGGTGACTTTCCTAGAGTGAGGCAGCCAGAGCACTCGCCGCAAGCAGGACAATATAATCAAATCATGTCATTTAGTCGTCCTCTTGTCTTCTGTTTTTGGACCACGTTTTCATCTCAGGAGCTGCATGAACTACGCCTGAACTTCACATGACTTCTACAAACGAGAGAGTAGGGGGCACTCACTCATTTCACTGATTGTGTCCTCTTTTTTTAATTTAAGGTCACCTACATTCTTCTTGGGCTTCCTGGATGAGCAGAGCAGGGTGCAGAATCTCAATCACTGCTTGACCATTTCCATGACATTCACTCACTGACTCTGGGATTTTCTGTTTCCATTTAGTTCCATATCTAATTCTGATGCTCCAGGCCTTGAGGATATTAGACCTGAGCAGAGTTGAGTGCTTTTACCGGGTGGCGTGCCACTTTTGATGTTGGAGTTCAGCTCTGTCAAAAGTGTGTGTGTGTGGGGGTGGGGCTGTGAAAAGGTGAAAAAAAGTGGGTCATATTGTGCCTGGCTTTGAAAGGAAAATGCTGAAACAAGGAGGTTTGGATGGAAGAGCTTAAACCCTTGTAGTTGCTAGAGATGTTCCTATACCCTTTTTTCCTTCCCGATACAGATTCCGA